CCTTGCGTGCTACGGGCGTCAGAAAAAAGTATTCGGCGTTCCCCCAACTTCCCCTAGATTTGTCGTCATTTCAGATGAAAATGACTTGTTGGCCGCTGGCAATGAAATTCAATGAAATTATGGGGAAATATTTTATGTCTTTATGTTCAAAACATTATTTCATCCTTCGATCGATAAATCGCGTTTGACGGCAAAAAAGACTTCGCGATTGAACTACGTTACTTTTTTTTAAATTTAGTCCGAATCTTTTGAATAGAAGGATTCACAGGGACAGAGCCCCCGCTAAGCGAAGCTTGTTACGGTAGCCCTGCCCTCTACCCTCCGATCGCGCAATGCGCCCGGTTCTATGGCAGAATTTGGAGTCCGAAGTTTAAAGTGCCGCACAGAGCCGCGCACGGCCGGTCCTCTCACTGACTTCGCTTGGCTACGGCCTGCCACAAACCGCAATCATACCTACCTGTAAGGAGGCTCATTAGAAGTCAATCTCCCGTCGCGCTTCGAACCCGGACTGTTATAACCGGGAACGCGTGCTCTCACCACGCGGAGTCCAACGCTCTACCGACTGAGCTACGGGACCAGCCAATACTTATAGAGCCATTAATACTTTTTAAAATGGACATGGAATACACAACTTCAAGATAAGAAGCGGGCAGTATGCAAACTGCCCAAGCTTTTGGGCGGTATGCATACTGCCCAAGGGGTCGGGTAGTATGCATACTACCCGGGCGGTATGCATACTGCCCGGGCTGTTGGGTAGTTTGCATACTGCCCGGGAAGTTTGCATACTGCCCAAGTTAGCATATGACCCGTAACACATATATATAAACGACACTCCAGAATCAGCGCTGATTCTGGTAACTTGAGAGGTCAAATGAGTGTTGGGAAAGTAAGATTAGATACTGCGACGTATGGAGTGTCGTTTATTTGCGCATTTTGACCTGCCGAGGTCAAACGGGGTCACATATCGAAAAGCGGTTTTTAAGAAAAGTTATTACGGCCTATGGGCTACCCGATGATGTGCTTTGATTTGGAATTCGGTCAATCCCTCTACTCGAAAACTGCTGTGCAAGTGTATTTTCGACATAGCCCACAAATGACCTTAGGTCATCGCATGACCTTGAGAGGTCAAATGAGTGTCGGGAAAGTAAGATTAGATGCTGGCGAGTCGATTGGTGCCATTCTTAGCGCTCTAGCTCTACTGGGTGGGCCACAATCTGCTGTGCAAATTTGGGCCACGTGACCTTTGCTGACCTCTGTAGGTCAAACGGCTGGGAGTGCCACCGAATGACTTGGACTGTGGATTGAGCATGTCATGGCCTACATTGTGTGTGAGTTTCAGCTTGATCGGAGGTGTCCCGAATCTGGGCTGAATCCGGGCTGCGACGTATTGAGTGTCGTTTATTTACACATTTTGACCTGCCAAGGTCAAACGGGGTCACATATCGAGAAGCGATTTTTAAGGAAAGTTACTACGGCTTATGGGCTACCCGATGATGTGCTTTGATTTGGAATTCGGTCAATTTATCAACTCGAAAACTGCTGTGCAAGTGTATTTTCGACACAGCCCACAAATGACCTTAGGTCATCGCATAACCTTGAGAGGTCAAATGAGTGTTGGAAAAGTAAGATTAGATGCTGGCGAGTCGATTGGTGCCATTTTTAGCGCTCTAGCTCTACTGGGTGGGCCACAATCTGCTGTGCAAATTTGGGCCACGTGACCTTTGCTGACCTCTGTAGGTCAAACGGCTGGGAGTGCCACCGAATGACTTTGACTGTGGATTGGGCATGTCATGGCCTACATTGTGTGCGAGTTTCAGCTTGATCGAAGGTGTCCCGAATTGGGCTGAATCTGGGCTGAATATGGGCTGTCTTGACGGACGTTAGACACCTCCACTTCTGCTGCGTTGTTCCAGATCAGAACAATTGCCATTTGTCACCGAAAAGTACTCATTTTTCATATTTTCTTGAGTCAATGCTGGTGATGGCTGATCACTGCGGGGGTTAGGTACCTTTAATGGTCTCTTGACCAAAATTGAACACATATGCCCACTTTTTGACGCTACTGTGGGAAAGACAAACCTCAGCAAGTGTTGCCGCTGACTTCGTGAATAACTTTTGGTGCCTTTTTCTGTAACACTATGAACCGAATCACTGTTCTCTTCTGGGCTACGCCCATCCTGGCCGGGAGCGGCAAAGTACCTATGTTACGTTCAACTAGCAGCCTGAACTAATTACAGGGCAGATTGGTTAATGTCTACGTAAGTGGACATCCCAATAACACATTATTGACGTTGCAGGCCGAAATTCCAACTCCTTCATGGTTTGGCCGAGAACTTTTTGAACACCCCTCGTATAACGGAAGAAAGCATGTAGGTAAGTGAAAAATCCACCTCTTTCACTGTCTCGGCAACTCATTTGGCAGATTAAAACCTTTACCTATTCCAGGCTGCCAAAACGGTAGTTTCTTCACTCAGCTGAGACGGAATACCTCACTATTTTGCAAATATTTTCGTTTTTTTGTTGTTGAAAAGGGCAAGGTTTGAAAAATAAGTGGCCTTAAACCAGCGAGAAAACTAGATTTGGGGGTACCCTAGGTTGATCTCCGTTATGGTTCAGCCCCCTCCGCCCCCCCAGTCTGGAAGAAGTTCCCGCGCCACTGGCCTTAAGACCAACTCAGGATTGTTCCCGAAGGTAACCGATGAACAGTCTTACCGAGCCATAACAACAGCTTTTCTAATTCTGCACTAGGTAAGTGTAAAAAGCTACAGCAAAAAAAAAAAAAAAATACTTTTTCCAGGCGTGGGCCAAAGTTGCCCTCGGTGGTCAAAGTTGCACGAAACTATGGTATTCAAAAACGGTGGAATCAAAGACAGAGGTTTCATGGCCAGCTCACTCCCCACGCCTGATGCCCCTGTTTTTTTTTTCTGTTGGGTTTCATGAAATCGCATGAGCCCGGTGATGCCCCAGAACCTCAGAAAGACGATTTAATGTCACCAGGGCCTCGTTTCATAAAGCGAGTCCGTAACTTACGCCGGATTTCGGTCTTGTATTGCAAGTGCACGTGAAACGATACATTTATTTTCCCTTCTCCCTTCTGTTCTTGCTTGCAAGAAAAATAAATTCAACGATTCAAACTAACGTCATCACTTCACATATACTTGCAATACAAGACCAAAAACCACCGTAAGTTACGGACTCGCTTTATGAAACGAGGCGACTCCACCCGACATGCGTGATTAAATCATCTCTGACGTTGCGCGGTAAACAGATCTCTGCATTCTGCAAGGAGAGGTCACCTGGAACACGTGCTGTGAGGGACGCGCAGGGTTAGAAGAGCGTGGGCGACACGAGGTTTCAGATTTTATGAACAAGCGGTTCAGATACACTCATTTATTTTCAGATAGTTTTACTAGTTTTTGTCTCATAAGCCGATAAACTGAGGACATATTTTTCTGTGCGCCCTGTATTTCTGCACGTGGGCACACATTGCCGAGTCACCCAGCGGGATGTCAGCACGCAGAGAGCACAGCACTAGCAGCAGCCGGGCGCCGCGCCGCGCCGCGCCGCGCGTCCACATCAGAGCCACGCCGGCGCGTCCGAGTCGGCCGACAGGCGCACGGCTACCGGCTACAGTAATCCTTAGATGATCATATCAACAGCTCACTCCTCCGGTCACTTCACCCCAACCGGCACGGAAACTGCACCGAAACAGCGCCAACGCTCATAAAATCAACACACACAAAGCTAGACACTTAAGCTAACTGATAAACAGATACAGTTTCCGTGCACTGGAGAGAGGTCACAGAACAATCAGCCATCCATAATAGTCCGCCGTCCGCCGCTGGAGCTGACCAGACCAGCCGCACGGCCCAGCCGCTCGGCGGCAATGCATGCCTCAATTAGTGAACAAGCAATTCACACAATTCTACACTATGCATACAAATGAATCTATCAAATGTCATATTGCAATATAACCAAGCTAAAGCTAATTTACCAACACACCATTCAACAGATCATACTAATCGGCGGCCATTTGGAGTAGCTAGCTGGCCAACTTCAATTCGAATGTGAACAGTAACTGTGGCCATCAAGATCACTTTCGCAGCATCAAGGTCATATTCCAACGCAGCTTAACATAAAATATCATTCGTGAATAGCAAAATCGCACACAACCACGTCCCTCTTTTTCTCTTTCTCCCCTTCTCTCTCTCTCTCTCTCTCTCTCTCTCTCTCTCCCTCCCTCTCTCTCTCTCTCTCTCTCTCTCTCTCTCTCTCTCTCTCTCTCTCTCTCTCTCTCTCTCTCTCTCTCTCTCTCTCTCTCTCTCTCTCTCTCTCTCTCTCTCTCTCTCTCTCTCTCTCTCTCTCTCTCTCTCTCTCTCTCTCTCTCTCTCTCTCTCTCTCTCTCTCTCTCTCTCTCTCTCTCTCTCTCTCTCTCTCTCTCTCTCTCTCTCTCTCTCTCTCTCTCTCTCTCTCTCTCTCTCTCTCTCTCTCTCTCTCTCTCTCTCTCTCTCTCTCTCTCTCTCTCTCTCTCTCTCTCTCTCTCTCTCTCTCTCTCTCTCTCTCTCTCTCTCTCTCTCTCTCTCTCTCTCTCTCTCTCTCTCTCTCTCTCTCTCTCTCTCTCTCTCTCTCTCTCTCTCTCTCTCTCTCTCTCTCTCTCTCTCTCTCTCTCTCTCTCTCTCTCTCTCTCTCTCTCTCTCTCTCTCTCTCTCTCTCTCTCTCTCTCTCTCTCTCTCTCTCTCTCTCTCTCTCTCTCTCTCTCTCTCTCTCTCTCTCTCTCTCTCTCTCTCTCTCTCTCTCTCTCTCTCTCTCTCTCTCTCTCTCTCTCTCTCTCTCTCTCTCTCTCTCTCTCTCTCTCTCTCTCTCTCTCTCTCTCTCTCTCTCTCTCTCTCTCTCTCTCTCTCTCTCTCTCTCTCTCTCTCTCTCTCTCTCTCCTCTCTCTCTCTCTCTCTCTCTCTCTCTCTCTCTCTCTCTCTCTCTCTCTCTCTCTCTCTCTCTCTCTCTCTCTCTCTCTCTCTCTCTCTCTCTCTCTCTCTCTCTCTCTCTCTCTCTCTCTCTCTCTCTCTCTCTCTCTCTCTCTCTCTCTCTCTCTCTCTCTCTCTCTCTCTCTCTCTCTCTCTCTCTCTCTCTCTCTCTCTCTCTCTCTCTCTCTCTCTCTCTCTCTCTCTCTCACGTCTCTGTTCCTCTTTGAAGCTGTGCGATGTTCACCTCAATTATCCAATCTCGAATATTTTTTTTTTAAGTGATCTTGAAAGAAAAATGCAATGAACGACGACATCCAATAAATGTAAAACAATGTTGTCAATGGTCTCGACCCCATTGCTGTGTCCAATCTGTGAGTGACCGGCCGGCACTCAGAGACCGCCGCCAAACACCTCCTGCGAGGCGTACACCATGTAGAGGAAGCCGTCCTGGTCCCGCTCCTGTCCGTAGACGGCTCCGACGGTGGCCGAGACGCTGGGCAGAGCGCGCTGATTCACCAGCAGGAAGAACGCCTGGCTGGGGTGCAGGCTGAGACGGCGGCTGTCGGCACAGCGGCAAGGACGCCATCAGCCGGCGGCACACAGAGGCCGGCCGTCAGCGGGCACCGCTCCACGCACAGCCAATACCCACCGACAGCTGGACGGTCACAGCCAATAACCACCGACAGCTGGACAGCCACAGCCAATACACACCGACAGCTGGACGGCCACAGCACAGCCAATACCCACCGACAGCTGGACGGCCACAGCCAATACACACCGACAGCTGGACGGCCACAGCCAATACACACCGACAGCTGGACGGCCACAGCACAGCCAATACCCACCGACAGCTGGACGGCCACAGCCAATACACACCGACAGCTGGACGGCCACAGCCAATACCCACCGACAGCTGGACGGCCACAGCCAATACACACCGACAGCTGGACGGCCACAGCCAATACACACCGACAGCTGGACGGCCACAGCACAGCCAATACCCACCGACAGCTGGACGGTCACAGCCAATACACACCGACAGCTGGACGGTCACAGCCAATACACACCGACAGCTGGACGGCCACAGCCAATACCCACCGACAGCTGGACGGTCACAGCCAATACCCACCGACAGCTGGACGGCCACAGCCAATACCCACCGACAGCTGGACGGCCACAGCACAGCCAATACACACCGACAGCTGGACGGCCACAGCCAATACACACCGACAGCTGGACGGTCACAGCCAATACCCACCGACAGCTGGACGGCCACAGCCAATACACACCGACTGGACGGCCACAGCACAGCCAATACCCACCGACAGCTGGACGGCCACAGCCACAGCCAATACACACCGACAGCTGGACGGCCACAGCACAGCCAATACCCACCGACAGCTGGACGGCCACAGCCACAGCCAATACACACCGACAGCTGGACGGCCACAGCACAGCCAATACCCACCGACAGCTGGACGGCCACAGCCAATACACACCGACAGCTGGACGGTCACAGCCAATACACACCGACAGTTGGACGGCCACATCACAGCCAATACCCACCGACAGCTGGACGGCCACAGCCACAGCCAATACACACCGACAGCTGGACGGTCACAGCCAATACACACCGACAGCTGGACGGCCACAGCCAATACCCACCGACAGCTGGACGGCCACAGCCAATACACACCGACAGCTGGACGGCCACAGCGCAGCCAATACCCACCGACAGCTGGACGGTCACAGCCAATACACACCCGACAGCTGGACGGCCACAGCACAGCCAATACCCACCGACAGCTGGACGGTCACAGCCAATACACACCGACAGCTGGACGGCCACAGCCAATACCCACCGACAGCTGGACGGCCACAGCCAATACACACCGACAGCTGGACAGCCACAGCCAATACCCACCGACAGCTGGACGGCCACAGCCAATACCCACCGACAGCTGGACGGCCACAGCCAATACCCACCGACAGCTGGACGGTCACAGCGCAGCCAATACAAACCGACAGTTGGATGGCCACAGCACAGCCAATACCCACCGACAGCTGGACGGCCACAGCCAATACCCACCGACAGCTGGACGGCCACAGCCAATACACACAGACAGCTGGACGGCCACAGCCACAGCCAATACACACCGACAGCTGGACGGCCACATCACAGCCAATACACACCGACAGCTGGACGGCCACAGCCAATACCCACCGACAGCTGGACGGCCACAGCACAGCCAATACACACCGACAGCTGGACGGTCACAGCCAATACACACCGACAGCTGGACGGCCACAGCCAATACACACCGACAGCTGGACGGCCACATCACAGCCAATACCCACCGACAGCTGGACGGCCACAGCCACAGCCAATACACACCGACAGCTGGACGGCCACAGCACAGCCAATACCCACCGACAGCTGGACGGCCACAGCACAGCCAATACCCACCGACAGCTGGACGGCCACAGCCAATACACACCGACAGCTGGACGGTCACAGCCAATACACACCGACAGTTGGACGGCCACATCACAGCCAATACCCACCGACAGCTGGACGGCCACATCACAGCCAATACCCACCGACAGCTGGACGGTCACAGCCAATACACACCGACAGCTGGACGGTCACAGCCAATACACACCGACAGCTGGACGGCCACAGCACAGCCAATACACACCGACAGCTGGACGGCCACAGCCAATACACACCGACAGCTGGACGGCCACAGCCACAGCCAATACACACCGACAGCTGGACGGCCACAGCCAATACACACCGACAGCTGGACAGCCACAGCCAATACACACCGACAGCTGGACAGCCACAGCCGATACACACCGACAGCTGGACGGCCACAGCACAGCCAATACACACCGACAGCTGGACGGCCACAGCCAATACACACCGACAGCTGGACGGCCACAGCACAGCCAATACCCACCGACAGCTGGACGGTCACAGCCAATACACACAGACAGCTGGACGGCCACAGCACAGCCAATACCCACCGACAGCTGGACGGCCACAGCCAATACACACCGACAGCTGGACGGCCACAGCCAATACACACCGACAGCTGGACGGCCACAGCCAATACCCACCGACAGCTGGACGGCCACAGCCAATACACACCGACAGCTGGACGGCCACAGCCAATACACACCGACAGCTGGACAGTCACAGCCAATACACACCGACAGCTGGACGGCCACAGCCAATACACACCGACAGCTGGACGGCCACAGCCAATACCCACCGACAGCTGGACGGCCACAGCCAATACCCACCGACAGCTGGACGGCCACAGCCAATACCCACCGACAGCTGGACGGCCACAGCCAATACACACCGACAGCTGGACAGCCACAGCCAATACACACCGACAGCTGGACGGCCACATCACAGCCAATACCCACCGACAGCTGGACGGCCACAGCCAATACACACCGACAGCTGGACGGCCACAGCCAATACACACCGACAGCTGGACAGCCACAGCCAATACACACCGGCAGCTGGACGGCCACAGCCAATACACACCGACAGCTGGACGGCCACAGCCAATACCCACCGACAGCTGGACGGTCACAGCCAATACACACCGACAGCTGGACGGCCACAGCCAATACACACCGACAGCTGGACGGCCACAGCACAGCCAATACCCACCGACAGCTGGACGGCCACAGCCAATACACACCGACAGCTGGACGGCCACAGCCAATACACACCGACAGCTGGACGGTCACAGCCAATACACACCGACAGCTGGACGGCCACAGCCAATACACACCGACTGGACGGCCACAGCGCAGCCAATACAAACCGACAGCTGGACGGCCACAGCCAATACACACCGACAGCTGGACGGCCACAGCGCAGCCAATACACACCGACAGCTGGACGGTCACAGCCAATACAAACCGACAGCTGGACGGCCACATCACAGCCAATACACACCGACAGCTGGACGGCCACAGCACAGCCAATACACACCGACAGCTGGACGGCCACAGCCACAGCCAATACACACCGACAGCTGGACGGCCACAGCACACTGCACAGCCAATACCCACCGACAGCTGGACGGCCACAGGCACAGCCAATACACACCGACAGCTGGACGGCCACAGCACAGCCAATACCCACCGACAGCTGGACGGCCACAGCCAATACACACCGACAGCTGGACGGTCACAGCCAATACACACCGACAGTTGGACGGCCACATCACAGCCAATACCCACCGACAGCTGGACGGTCACAGCCAATACACACCGACAGCTGGACGGTCACAGCCAATACACACCGACAGCTGGACGGCCACAGCACAGCCAATACACACCGACAGCTGGACGGCCACAGCCAATACACACCGACAGCTGGACGGCCACAGCCAATACCCACCGACAGCTGGACGGCCACAGCCAATACACACCGACAGCTGGACGGCCACAGCGCAGCCAATACCCACCGACAGCTGGACGGTCACAGCCAATACACACCCGACAGCTGGACGGCCACAGCACAGCCAATACCCACCGACAGCTGGACGGTCACAGCCAATACACACCGACAGCTGGACGGCCACAGCCAATACCCACCGACAGCTGGACGGCCACAGCCAATACACACCGACAGCTGGACGGCCACAGCCAATACCCACCGACAGCTGGACGGCCACAGCCAATACCCACCGACAGCTGGACGGCCACAGCCAATACCCACCGACAGCTGGACGGTCACAGCGCAGCCAATACAAACCGACAGTTGGATGGCCACAGCACAGCCAATACCCACCGACAGCTGGACGGCCACAGCCAATACCCACCGACAGCTGGACGGCCACAGCCAATACACACCGACAGCTGGACAGCCACAGCCAATACACACCGACAGCTGGACGGCCACATCACAGCCAATACCCACCGACAGCTGGACGGCCACAGCCAATACACACCGACAGCTGGACGGCCACAGCCAATACCCACCGACAGCTGGACGGCCACAGCCAATACCCACCGACAGCTGGACGGCCACAGCCAATACACACCGACAGCTGGACGGTCACAGCCAATACCCACCGACAGCTGGACGGCCACAGCCAATACACACCGACAGCTGGACAGTCACAGCCGATACACACCGACAGCTGGACGGTCACAGCACAGCCAATACACACCGACAGCTGGACGGCCACAGCCAATACACACCGACAGCTGAACGGTCACAGCACAGCCAATACCCACCGACAGCTGGACGGCCACAGCGCAGCCAATACAAACCGACAGCTGGACGGCCACAGCCGTCAGTCAATATCCACCGACAGCTGGACGGCCACAGCCAATACAAACCGACAGCTGGACGGCCACATCACAGCCAATACAAACCGACAGCTGGACGGCCACAGCCAATACAAACCGACAGCTGGACGGCCACATCACAGCCAATACCCACCGACAGCTGGACGGCCACAGCCAATACACACCGACAGCTGGACGGTCACAGCACAGCCAATACCCACCGACAGCTGGACG